AAACCCAGAAGCTATGGGAAAATATGGGGAACCATTTTATTTGTGTGTATTTATTTGTGTGTCCTGGGGCCCCTTCAGATGGGTGCAGCCCAATCGCCCACTGACCGCCGCTAGGGGGCCCCATCGCCCGACCCACCCAGGAGCGTGCGGTTTCGCCGTCGGGGGCCTGTCGTGATCCAGTGGCGATGCATCGCCGAGTCAAGCTCGGTGTCCCCCCCCCGCCTGAGCCAGTCCTTCCCTGTCGTCGCCTCTCAGCGAAGGACGATAACGTAGGGGGCCACACGCGAACCCTACCCCTACCCCCCATGATTTCTGAGGGGGAGGGTGGGGTTCACCTCGTTCGGGAGCTCCCGAGCGAAGTGAACCCCACCCTCCCCCTCGGAAATCGTGGGGGGTAGGGGTAGGGTTCGCGCGTGGCCCCCTATAACAGGCATGCGACCCTGACATCATTGAGGGAGGAGAGGCCATGGAGGGAGGGGAGGCGGGTTGAGGCGTCCTGGAGGGAGGGGAATGGACATGGACATGGGTGGTCCCTGGCCTCCCTCACCGACGGATGATAATGCTTTCCGCTGGCATACACACCTCGTGGAGCTGCCGCCGCAGGCCTCTCCACGGCCAGCCAGGCGGGGGGCTCGAGTGTGCCGCGCTCCAGCCGAACGCTGGTCGGCGCGCTGGTGCTGAGGGGAGGAAGAGGCCCACTGAAGAGCCATTGAGAAGCTAGCAGGATGAGCCTTGTCCTCCTCCCCGGGGGTGGGTGGGTGGGGGGGAGAGAGGAGTGTGACCTGGGCATCCGGCGCATCGATCCAATCGAGGCGGCCGGTCTGTCGCAAATGTTATCCCCACCCGGGTCCAGTTTCGGGTATCGGGGCTTCCTCCAGAAAGCGGCTCGGGGCGAAAAGCTGGCCCCGGGGAAAAGGGGTCGAGAGGCCCGAATGCCCACACATCGCCATGCATGGAGGAGGGTGGAGGAGGCGGAGACGTAGGGGAGGGGAGGGCGGTTCGAGGAAGCTGTCGGAAGCGTTTTGGGGTAATTCGGAGGCGCCTGGAGATTTCTGGAGGCGAGGAGGAGGGTGGGAGGAGGAGGGGGAGGTGGAGGGATGGGGAGGAGGAATAGGACAGGGGAATGGGGAGTGTGACATGAGTGCCCAAGCTCGACCAGATTTTCTGGTGTTGTCGTATGGGTTTCACCAGGTGTTCGGATGTGATGTCTGGCCAGGAGGAGACGAGGAGGGGGAGAGGAGGAGATGTACGCGGAGGCAGGAAGTTGGAGAGGAAGGGGGTGAGGACGGGAGGGAGCAGCACGCTATTTCCGGCGAGAGGCAGGTGGAGGAATGGACGGGTTGAGATGCAGGGGTGGCTGGCGAACCCAGACGTGACGCGAGGCCGAGGACGAGGACGAGGACCACAAACAAGCCGCCGCCGCCGCCGACGACGACGACGAGGCCCTCAAAGCCACCAGCGCCCGACCGTCCCTCCGACCCCACCCACCATCGGGGAGCGGCCCGCGAGCCGCAGCGCGGCCTCCCCCCGCGTGGGGCGGTCCGCCGCCGAGCCCTCGCTCGCCGCCCCGGCCGCGGTTGGCGCTCCCGCCGCCCGCGCGAGGACCGTCCCGAAGTGGTACGCCTGCGAGTCCTGGCTGTGGACGAGGCCCACTCGTGGTGCCCAGAGCACCTGCTTGAGCTGGTCCCGCCGCTCCTGGCGCTGCCTCTGTTGCTGCTCCTGGCGCTCGCTTCTGCGCTGCCGCGTGCCGGAGTGCCTGCTCCTCGAGCCCCTTGGCAGACTCCTGGGCCTGCTCGTGGAACTCCTCCAGCTGCTGCACCCGAATGCTGCTTGCTGAGCGCTCTGTCAGCCACGTGCTCAACCTTGTCCTCGAGCGGCTCGAAGTACGCCTGGAGCGCCTTGCCGTGCTGCGGAAGCGTCCTCTTTGCGCTCACGCATGTCATGATGCTTGTTTAGTCTGTTCGAGCTTGGTCTGCTGCCCGTCTTTCACCTTGGTCTCGAGCTCCAGCTTCTGGGTGCTTCCCTGCTTATGCCCCTCCTGCTGGTCCTGGTCGCCAATGAAGTGCTGCTTGGGGACCAGGCGACGCATAGGCGGTGGCTAGTGGGGAAACGTCTGTGCCTTGGAGCAGACCTCTCCGCCGACGGTGGCGACGGTCTCCCCGACAGTGGTGCCCTAGCTGCTGTCCTCCACGTCTCTCGACTTCTGTCTGCCACTGTCGAGGCCGAGCATGACTTACTCTAGGTCGTACTTGCGCATCAGATTCCGCCTTTTGCCGCTGCGCTACATGCGCTTAGCTACCTTTTCTGTGGAGGGAGTCCTTCAAGTCCACTCCCCACGTGGGAGTTGAGGCCGACATTCCTGAAGGCCTCTATTCAGGCCGCCGTCGATGTCAGGGGATGCCTGCTCCTCAGCGCTAGCCTTCACAAGCGACTCGACAGTAGCCTGGGCGAGCTCCAGGCGCGCGTCCACCTCGCCCTTGGCTCCTTGCGAGCCCGGGTGGTCGTTGGAGCGCACGGCCGCGGCTGAGATTGCCGCTGCGGCCTGCCCCGCTGGCTCCTCCCAGTGTTGCCCCAAAGACTGCCGCGCAAACGAGCTTCGTGTCCTGATCGTGAAGGAGCGGGTTGACCGCCGCGCCGCCATGCCCATGTTTGTTCTCGCATTGGACGCAGGCGCAGCTCTTGAGACACAATTGCTACGAGCGTGAGATCGGGGAGGAGGAGGAGGAGGAGGAGGAGGAGGAGGACCAAGAGATGGAGGTTCAGCAGCAACGTTAGGGAGTGGAGGTTCAGGAGCAACGTGAAGGGGCGATCTATCGGCGATGGATCGCCCATTCAAGCTCGATGTTTCTCCACTGAGCCAGCTCCCCTTTCTCGTTGCCCCTCAGAGGTGGAGGTGGAAGAGGGGAAGTGGGGCGGAGAAGAAGAGAGCGAGAGGAGGGGAGGATAAGGTAACCTTGAGAACGATGGTGCTCACTCCTCCTCCTCCTCCTCCTCCTCCTCCTCCTCCTCCCTCCTCCTCCTCCTCCTCCTCCTCCTCCTCCTCCTCCTCCTCCTCATTCCCAGGGGGTTCAAAGCCCTCGGGATATGCGCTCCATCATGCTTTCTCCTTCAGGCAGCGCCTGAACTGGCTCTCACTGTGCTGGCGTCAGGAGCCGGCCTGGTGACCCAGGCTTTCGCCCGGTGGGCGCCCGCCGTGCGTGCCCCCTGTGGGGGCTTCGTGCTGCCTGGGTGTTCCGGGCTTCCGCCCAGCCGACGCCCGTGGGCGCTTCGTGTCAGAGGAAAAAGAACTACAGTCGGGGTGCTGAGGAAGGAACCCTTTTCGTTGGGGAGGGGCCCCGTGTTCCTTGATTGTTTCACAGCTTGCCTTAGGTTTTCCTTAGGTTTTCGATGGGAAATCGAACTTTAACTGATGGGAAAAAGGGGCCTCGTTCCTTATTTAGGGTTCCTTAGGTCAACGCCCCGACTGTATGCACATACCGACTCTGGCCAGGCCCATCCTGAGCCCAGGATCGGTGCAGACGCCCTCCTGCCTCGGCCAGGAAGGCATGTGCACCGATCCTGGGGCAAGGTTGGGCCTCACCAGAGGATCGGTGCATGTGCACAGTTCTCTTCGCCCCACGTGTTGGATGGGAGTTCCCTGGGCTTCGTGTTGGCTGGGTGTTCCGGGTTTCGCCCAGCTCCTCCTCCTCCTCCTCCTCCTCCTCCTCCTCCTCAGACGCCCGTGGGCGCTTCGTGCTGGATGGGAGTTCCCCCGACTTCCGGCTGCTCCGTGGATGGGGCGCCTGGGGTGCCCTGGCGTGCGCTCCGGGCTTCCGCCCGGTGGCCGCCCGTCGCCACCCCGTCGCGGCCTCGTGCGCCGGCTGGGTGGGTGTTCGGCTTCGCCGCCCCCCCGTGGGAGTGCACCGGGAGGGGAGAGAACACACAGGCACAACGAATCGTCGATCCCCCAGAACATGTGGGAAGATATGGGAAGTGGGGGGGGAAGGCAAAGGCCCCGAAGATGTGGGAGAGAATATGGGGAATCCTTTTATTGGTGTGTATTTATTCGTGTGTCCCAGGGCCCCTTCATTGCACGGCGCACGGCGCTGTGGGAATACCGTGATCGCTCAAGAGGCCAGCGCTGAAGTCGGCACGACACGAACCTGCCGTACTTCAGGGGCGCCGACGGGGGGGGGAGTGGCCCTGGGGGGGGGGAACGACGACCCCCAAAATCGCCCACGCATTCATTGACAGTCGGGGCCCGGGTGCTCCACTCCGCCCAGGCGGGTGCGGTTTCCCTATCGAGGGCCCTCGGGAGCACATCTCCAGTGCACCCTCCCGGAGGAGCGAAAGCCTCCATATGCTGGAGGGCGGGCCTCCACCGACGAGGAGCGCGCGGCATCAACACGAGCAGTCGGAGCTCCGCGCAGATTTCTGGCATCGGCCGTGGATCCCCCTTCCCTCACCACCCACCAAACCACCCCGACCCAACCCGAAGGCCTCAATTTGCCCTCCACTTCCAGTGGGGGGGGGGAGTCCGGGAACATCGAAAAAACACATGTGGAGCCCACATCCCCCCCCCAACCCGAAATTGGGGTCTTTGGCTTGGGTTGGGATGGTCTGGTAGGTAGTCCTTCCCTGGCGCGCGGAGCGCGACGGGGGCGGCGTTGGAGGGCGGCGCTGGAGGCGCCGCCGGGTGTGTCCAGGGTCTGGCGCAGCTCCCAGAAGTCCGCGCGGAGCTCTGGCAGGTTCTGTTCAGGGCGTCTTGGTGCCCCCTCTGCCCCGCTCTGGAGGGGACGGGCCCCCGGGACGGCAGGAGGAGCGAGTCTCCAGAGTGGAGGTCGGCCCTCCGCCCGAAGGCCTCTGATGCCCTGCAGGTCGGCCCCGAGGGAGGGGCGGCAGCACACCGCCCGCCTCGGGGCGCGAGCGCGCGCGCGCGCGCGGCAGGGCGGAGCGGCGCGCAGCCTCGGGCTCCACCGCAGCGCCTCGGGCTCCAGGGCCTGGCCGGGGCCTGCCGCCCCATGCCCTGCGCGGCCGCGCCGTGGGCCGCGAGCGGCCCGCCGGGGCCCGCGGCGGCCGCGCCCCCGCGGCGCCCCCGCGGCGCCCCCCGCGGCACGGCGCGCCCCGCGGCGCGGCGGGCCCCGCCGGGGTGGCCGCGCTGGCCGGGTGCGCCGCCGCCTCCGCCCGCGCCGAGGCGCGCGCCTGCGCGCGCCCGCGGGGCGGCGCGCCCGCCGGCGCCCCGCCGCCGGCCCGCCGGCGGCCGCAGGCCGGCGGCCGCGCTGCGGCGGTGCGCGCCCCGTCGCGAGCCCGCGGGCGAGGCGGGCGGCGGCGACCCGCGCGCGGCCCTGGGCGAGGCCTACGAGGAGGACGCGCGGCACGAAGCGGGCGGGCCGCGCAGGGGGTCGGGCCGGGTCGGCCGCCGCGCCGCCGCGCTCCTCGGGGCTGCTCTCGGCCCTGCGGTTGCCGTCGGTCTCCGCGTCGCTGCGGGCTCCGCCGGTTTGCCGTGGTGGCTTTCCTCGTGGACGGCTACGGTCGGCCCGGATTAGCAGGTCGGCCCTGCCAGCTCAAGGGTACCCTTGTGTCCTGTGCCTCGCGACACGTGCCTTCTTACACTCCTGTGGCGATGTGGCCCTCGGAAGGGTCTCGTGTCCTCTCGCGTGTCCTGTCCAATCGAGGCCGACTGTATGCCTGCTGCCCCCTCGCTCGCTCATCGGATGAGGCTCGGTGGAGACAGCGGAGGTCTGTCCAGGCCTCCCAGAATGGGTTTTGAGCAGGTGGGTCGGAGGAGCGCGCCGCATCGCCGACGTCGCCTGTGCATCGCCAGTGCATCTGCGATGCGGCGCGATCCTCCGTCACCGTCTACTCGGACCACATTTGGGAGGCCTCTAACCTAGGCCTCTCATGAAATACAATAAGCTCGATAAGCGCCATTTTCCTCCGCCTCCTCTCTTCTTCCGTCCTCCTCCCTGCTCCCTCCAAGACCCCACAGAGCCTTCTGGGATCCCCCAGAGTCCCGTGGACACCCCACCGATCAATCCCCACCAGCACGCAGGTCAACCGCGTGGGCGCGAAGGTAATCGCGCGTCGCGCGCCGGGATCTGGGCCGGAGCGGCTGCCCTTCTCAAAGGGTGCGACGCGAGGATGCGAAGATGTTCGCGCATCGCCAGGCGCGAGGCGCGCAGTTAGGTGACCCAGGACACGGGTCCTGGAGGTTGCTCGCCGTGTCCAGGCTCCCGGGGCACTCTCCCAGGGCCCTGGGGCCGTGTGAGAAGCGTACGGCCCGAGGTGAAGAGTTGTCTTCCTGGGGGAGTGGCCGGAGCCCACGGGGCCCGTTTCTGTCCTCCGCGGCGAGGACGTGCGGGAGCTCGAGGCCCTGAGCGAGAGCCTCGCCGAGCAGCAGCGCGCGAGGGGCGAGGCGCTGGCCGAGAGGGTCGACAGGCTGCTGGGCCGGCAGCCCCTTCTGGCGGACGCCGGCGCTCTGGCGTTGCGCAACGGGGGTGGTGATGATCGGGGGGTGCAAACGTGTGCCCCCTGCGTAGCCCAAAGGGGCCCAAAAAGGGGGAAGCGAAAGGTGCACGCTTCTGCGTCCCCCTCGGAGGAGCGCAAAGAATACACCACCACCAACCCTGGCCAGGCCCATCCTGGGCCCTGGCTGGTGTATAGACCTCCAGGCCCAGGCCAGGAGGGCTTGCACACCAGTCCTAGGGCCCAGGATGGGCCTGGCCAGGGCTGGAGGTGGTGTGTTGCTTGGAGCTCTCCTATAGGCCCCCATCGATCGCCCCCCCCCCTTACGCAACGTCCAAGGCGCGGCTCCCGCGCTGGGCTCGGCAGAGGCCGAGCCCTCGGGGGCCGGCGCCGCAGTGCCGGCGCCAGCGCCCGAGCTGCAGCGGGTGGTCGTCTGCGGAGTGGGCGGCGGCTCCCCCGGCGCGCGGGCGGGCCAGCAGCTGTTCGCGACCCTGCGGGACGCCATCTCGGGTGGAGGAGAAGGTGCCGATGCCGATCGGCAATTGTGCACCCCGAGATCTGACGCTGCGAACAGAAATGCGGCATCGCGAAGAGTCACGGCCAGAGCCCCGGACCCCATCTTGCTGCACCTTTCTCTTGGAGCCGGGTCGGTTTCTGCTGGCCCTGGGGCCCGAGGCCAGGCGGAAGCGCCCGGCGTGGAAAAAGTTCAGTGCCCGGGTCTCAGGGCAAGGCATCGGGCTCCGCAAGTCTCGCGGCTGACCTCCACGGACCCCCCCCGGGGAGTCTGGCCGGCGGCGCCCCTCGGGGCGCTCCGCGCACCAGGGTCAGGCTGCTGAGGCTGCCCCAGGCTTTTTTGGGGCGAGGGGCTTTCTGACGGGGGCTGTATGTGCGCGCAGCCCGAAGCCTCACCAACACCGTTGCCCTTCTAGGGGGCCACATGCGAACCCTACCCCTACCCCCCACGATTTCGGAGGGGGAGGGTGGGGTTCACTTCGCTCGGGAGGTCCCGAATGAAGTGAACCCCACCCTCCCCCTCAGAAATCGTGGGGGGTAGGGGTGGGGTTTGCATGTGGCCCCCTACCTTCGCTCCGCCGCCGCGGCCGGGTGCTCCCGGGAACTCCCGCCGGGACGCACCGCGGGAGGTCTCGGGAGCCGCGGTATCGGCACCTTGTCGCTCCCCCCCAGTCACGGCCCCGCGGGAGGCCCCGAGCTGGGTGGACCTCGGCAGTGCGGCCGAGGCGCCGCTGGAGGAGCTGGACCGAGTCTTCGTGTTGGCGAGGACGTGCGTTATCTGCCCTGACGTTACCGACGACGACCGCCGGACCATCGCATCGATGAGGCAGGGCATCAAAGCGGTTCTGGGGAGCTTCCCGCAGAACCTCTCCAAGGTTGTGATGCTGAGCCGCGTGGGGGCCCAGGCGGTCAAGGGGGGGATCAATCTGAGGTCGATGTTCGGCCTCGGCTACGAGGGCACGCTGACGGGCCTGGAGGATCGGGTCGGACCAAAGAGGGGGGCGTCGGGGGGCATTTCGAAACCTCGGCTGTTTTCAGCCCCGCCTCCGGCTGGGCGGCTCTCCGCGAGGGGGCCTTCTGGCGCCAGGAGGTGCTGGGAGAGTTGACTGCGTTGGCCGCCCCGCCGACCTCCCTATCACCGCCCCCGCCCCCCCCTCGTCCGGCCCGCGAGGACGAGATCACCTCCACCGCCAGGAGTCGAAGAAGAGAAAGCAGCGCAGCGCACAAGCCTTCCGAGGCCCGCGCGGCTGTCGCAGATCGGCGGCAGGCCCCCCCCCCCTCTCTCTTGCGCGCGGAGCGCCCCGGGGGCGGCGCCGGAGGCGCCGCCAGGGGGGTCCGGCGCCGACCTCAGATGGGCGCGCGCAGCCCTGAAAGTTCGTGTGTTGTGACCTCTCGTGTCGGCGGCGCGGCCAGGGGCTGGGCCTTCGGAGGAGGCTCCGAGGGCCTCTCAGAGGCCCTCTGAGGCCAGAGGGCCTCTCAGAGGCCTCTCAGAGGCCTCTCAGAGGGCCTCTCAGAGGGCCTCTCAGGAGGCCAGAGGGCCTCCAGAGGCCTCTCAGAGGACAGGCGGGCGCGCGCAGCCCCGAAAAAAAAAAGTGGAGGGAAACAATTGGTGAACACCCCCCCTGCCCCCCAAACTCAAGGTTGGCACGCGGGGGGGAGGCTGCGGGTCGAGGTGCAGCTCCTCAGACCCACCGCCAGCATTGAGCATTGGGGGGAGGCGGAGGCGTTCACAGATGAATGTGTGGCAGGAGTGTCCGCTCATGTTTTCCGAGGCCTGTATGACCTTTCGTGTCGGCGGCGCGGCCAGGAGCTGGGCCTTCGGATGAGGCTCAGAGGGCCTCCGGCCTTCCGGAGGAATCCTCTGAGCCTCCTTCGAACACGCGGAGGGCTTCTCAGGAGGTTGGGCTCCTGAAGCGCGTCCCGCCGCCTTCTGAGAAGGCACGCCTCCTCGACAGCAACTGATAGGAGCCTTGTATAGCTCCGTCTTTAGAGTGCGTGAGCGTGCGCTCGCGTCTGGTAATCGATGAGACAGCGCCGATTTAGCGTCGACTTCGCGTCGATTTAGCGCCGATTTAGCGTCGACTCGCAGGAGCCAGCAAGATGACGTGGGATGCTCCCGTGAGCTGCTACAGCATTTCCCCTCCCACTTTTCCCCTCGGCGCGCCGCCGATGCTGACCCTCTCGAGGAAGAGGCGCAGGACCCTCGACGTCGTGATCGTCCGCGTGGGCGCCCCCTCGCGGGGCCTCGGCGCGGCGGTCCGCTGCCTGCCCGGCGACGCGCGGAGCGAGTCGCCGACCTCGAGCGAGACGGCCGCGGAGGCCCTGGTCCAGGCTCGAGGGAGGAAGCTGGTGCTTGGCATCGCTTGGACGTGTGCATTTTTCCTTCGGCGAGGATCGTCGAGAAGCGTCCTTGGTCATTTGGCGAAGCAACCACGCACGAAGCCAAACAAAAACACACAGGAAATGGACGTCCGAGGGATGGCCAGAGTGAGGCGTCGGGCTGCGCACAGACAGCCTCCCCAGCCAGTCCCGGCCGGCCTCGGCACTCGGGGGGCCTGCTGTGGCCAGTTGGTGCTGCCCGGGGGGCCGTCTGTGCGCAGCCCGAAGCCCTGCCGGAAGAAGCACGACGACCACGACCGAGGTGTCGCGTGATCTCGTCGACGCCGATCTTCATGCCAGCTGTTGCCGGTTCGCGAGGGTTGTCCACGGATTGACAATGACCAAGATTGGCGGTGGCCAGGATCGGCACCGACCTTTCCGCGGTCTGTCCTGGCCACGGTCCTCCATGGCTTTCCCTCCACAGGCGCTGGTGCAGCGCGTGAGCGGCAGCATGTGCGTGGTGGAGGAGCCAGGCGCCTGCGAGTTCGCGGCGCTCCCAGAACCGCTGCGGTGGCGCGAGAGGACCCGATGAGGCGAAGAAACCAGGCCTCCTCGATCCTGCTCGATCCTCCTCCTCGATCCTCGATGCTCGATCCTTCTCCTCGATCCTCGATCCCCCCGCCTCTGCGATGCGGCGTCCCCGCAGGACGAGGGCAAAGCTCAAGAAGGGAGGGTCCCGATCCCCATGGGGGTGCGAAAATAATCGGGGTGCCAGGAGACCTAAGCCTCCAGCCGATTAGGGTGGTGCCCGTCGGAGGGAGTTTGGTCCGTGTGCCTCCCTCCTGGGACCCCCCGAGAGAGGTCTCCCTTCCCTTCTCCCCCCCGTCCTCGGCAGAGGCGCGCTGCGGCGGCTGCCTTTGGGGAAACGGGGCGGCAAACCAAACACGAAACAAAAACAACAAAATCTAGGATCCGCGCTGGGCTTCCCTGGCGGCGCCTGCGGCGACGCCCCTGGCGCAACTCGCGCGCCAGCGAGGGGGGGGGATCCCGCGCCGATCCAAATCCGCGTGGACCTCCGAAAGTTTGTGCTTATGCAGTTTTTCCCTACTGCTGATCATCGCGCATCCCGCGCCGCGATCATCGCGCATCCCGCGCCGCGGTCTGGGCCAGGGCGGCCGCTCTCCTCCAAGGACAGGCGGCGCAGGGGCGACACGGGCGCGGAGGATCGCGCCTCGCGGGGCGAGAGGGCGCGAAGCTGGGTGACCTGGCAGACATAGGCTTCCGGAGGTCCGAACCGACAGACTTCTGTGGTTCCTCCTCCTCCTCCTCCTCCTCCCCCTCCTCCTCCTCCTCCTCCCTCTTCCTCCTCCTCCTCCTCCTCCTCCTCCTCCTCCTCCTCCTCCTCCTCCTCCTCCTCCCCCTCATCGTCATCATCCTCCTCATCCTCGGCCTCCTGCTCTTCCTCCTCTTCCTCCTCCCGGCACTGGGCCCTCCTGTCCCTAGCGCGCCTGGAGCGCGCCAGGGGTGGCGCTGGAGGCGCTGCCAACGGGGGGCCCGGCGCAGGTCCAGGGATTCCGCGCGAGCCTCCGAAAGTTCGTGTGGGCGACGCAGAGGATTGGGGTCGATGGCGCGGACACTCGCGCGTACGCTGCCCGCGTGAGCTTCCTCGTTCTCAATGCAGCGTACCGCAGCGACGGCCCGCGCAAGCCACCGCGTAAGGTCGCCATGGTATAGTGCGCAGGACCCCTTAATGTTCGTCGCACATGCTTTTGGCCGATGTTGCTGCTCTACTGAGCCACGGCCAACGACAAGTGGGATACGCATATGGGCGGATGCATCGGCCCCCAATCGCCCATTCATCGCAGATAGGGCCCCGACCGACAGCCCAGCACCGCCCAGGAACGTGCAGATTCACTTTGGGGGGCCCATCGCCGACCGATCGGCGATGTATCGCACAGCCCAGGTCGATGTTCCCCCCCCCATCTGCCAATCGCCCCCCCGTCTTTGCCTCTCACCGAGGATGCTGCCGTTCGTCGGCCCCGAGGTCTTCCGGGCGAGGGTGGGCGGGCAGTTGGCAACCACTCCGCGCTCGGCGATGCGAGCGGGTGCCCCCCCGCCCGCCCGCCCCCCCCCCAGGCGGGGGCCTCGCCTCGCCTCGCGGGCGCAGGCGCGCCGGCCTGGAGTCAGGAAAAATAGGCACAGACACAGATCGATTTCGATGTCCAGGAACATACTTGATCATGTGGGCCACGGAGGGGAATCAGAGCGTCGAAGCAAAACAAAACAAAATGGGGAATCCTGGATGTGGTATCTGTTTGTTCGTGTCTCGCTGGGTCACTTTCCATAGCGTGAGGATACGAAGCCTTTCAAACGGAGGTCCGATCTCCAGAATTGGAAGCTTCTTCCTTGCACTCTGAAGGCTTTCCACCTCCAGCATGGATGTCCGACCTCAGAATGGAGATTGCGAAGGCCTTGCAGCCGGTGCCGCCGACCCTGAATGGGGGCGGCTACGACGACGACGACGATGATGAGAAGGCGAGGACGCGAACCTTCTTTCTGATGGCTTTCTGCCGCATGTCCGACCTCCAGGAAGGAGATGATGCTCGATCCTCTGGGGCGCGGTGGTCGCCGTGAACCTGACGGGCGCTCAGGGCAACGGGTCCCGAGGTTTGTCGCCGTCTCGCTTTCCTGAGGCCCTCGTCGTCGTCGTCGTCGTCGTCGTCCTCGTCGTCGTCGTCGTCGTCGTCGTCGTCGTCGTCGTCGTCGTTGTCGCCGTCTCGCTTTCCGGAGGCCCTCCCGCCGCGTGCTCCGGGGCGGTCAGAAGCCGACTCGGGACGAAGCGGCTGCACCCGTGCGGGGGCCCCGAGGCTCGGGAGCCGCTCCCTTCGAGGCCCGCTCGCCTCGTGCGAGGGTGGCGGGGCTGTCCGCGCCAGTTGTGGGCCGGGGGCCGTCGGCGGAGGAGGCGCCCCCCCGCGGGCTCGTCACGGACTTCGGAGTATCGGAGGTGGACAGACCTCCTACCCTGACACGCCGAGCAAGGAATTGGCCGTCTTCGGTTCGCGAGAGGGCGTCGCGGCCGTCGTTTTTGCGGGTCCAGGTCCGTCGGTTTCGGTCCCAGGCCGTTTTCACTAAGGGGAGGTTTACTAAAGGGAGGTTTGTCCACCGCCGAGAGTATGCATCATCGCCAGCCCTCCCAGAGGATCAGAGACCTGCAAAAGCGGAGGTCCGACGTCCTCTCTGGAAGCTCGTCTTTCGCCCTCCTGTGCGTTTCTCCATTTGGGAGGCTTCTGGAGGTTTGGGATCCAGAGTATCGGAGGTGGATAGACCTCCTACCCTGACACGCCGAGTAATGAATTGGCCGTTTTCGGTTCGCGAGAGGGCGTCGCGGCCGTCGTTTTTGCGGGTCCAGGTCCGTCGGTTTCGGTCCCAGGCCGTTTTCACTAAGGGGAGGTTTACTAAAGGGAGGTTTGTCCACCGCCGATAGTACGCATCATCGCCAGCCCTCCCAGAGGATCAGAAACTTGCAAAAGCGGAGGTCCGATGTCCATTCTGGAAGCTTGTCTTTCTCCATCCTGTGCTTGTCTCCATGTGGGAGGCCTTTGGAGGTTTGGGATCCAGTGGGCCCGTCCTGAGCCCTCGACTGGTGCACGCCCTCTTGGCCTGACCAGGCCAGGAGTGCCTGCACATCGCTGTCTTAAACTCTCTGAATATTCGTCCTCGGGGAAGCCTGCCCGTCCCGCAAATGGCGCCCTCCCCTCGCAGACGACGCGGGCTCGATGCGGATCCTGCGTGGACCCGACGTGGATTCGACGCGAGCAGCGACGCGGCGAGGCAGACGAGGCCGCCCCCCAGAACACGCAGCGCCCGAGACGCGCCCAGCCAGGGCCGGTGGTTTGTTAGTCTGATTGCCTGCCTTCGGAGGTGGGGGACGCCAAGCGCGCGGCCATATTTGTACAGGAGCTCGGATAAGAAGCATCGGTACGCCCATGATTCGCTGAAGGTATGTCTGTTGGGGGTCCCAAGTTCCGATCTGCTGTAGGCGCCTTCCAATTTCAAGTGGCGAATGGTTTCCTCTCTCTCTTTATGTTTAGGAGGAGGCGGAGACCCAATCTGAGTTCAACGCCTCCTGCTTCATGTTTCTGCCCACTTGTTCCGACCGAACGATGGGTTAACATACTCTGTCGGAGGTCCGCGCGGATTTCTTGGTGGATCTGCGCTGCTCCCTGGCGCGTGGAGTTTGCCCAGGGAGAGCGCCCGAGGCCCCTCCAGGGGGGTCAGTGCCGATTCGGGAGATGTCCGCGCCGATCTCCGACAGCTTCTGCTTCCGCAGCCTGCTCCTGCTCCAGGAGTGGGCGGACGAGTTCTTCGGCCCAGGGAAGGGCGACGCGCGGCGGCCTGGCTGGGGCCTGAAGACCCCGGTGCAGCTGTGCCCGAGCGCCACCGGCGTGGTCTTCAAGTTCCGGCCCCTCGCGACGCTGAGCGGCGTCGAGTTTGAGCGGCTGGAGGAGGGCGGGCTGGAGTTCATCGCGGAGAGGCATCCGCAGGGAGGCGCGCGTCTGCGAGTCCAGCGCTGCGCCTACGGCTGGAAGGCCACCCTGAAGGAGAACTCGGAGCGGGCCATCCTGCGAAAGTTCAAGGAGGGCAGGCCGCCCAAGCAGGGCCAGAGCAGATGGGGTCAGAGGGTCGCCTCTCATCGCCGATGCGCCTCGGTCCTGGAGCACGATGTTCTCCGCCCCAACATCGCCGATACATGGACGATGTGGCGCGATTCTTGGACCCTGTCTAATCTGGCTCATTTTGGACGGCCTCCAAAGGAGGACTTGGCAAGCTGTCCCACCTCCATTGCCGTGGCGCAGTGATGTGATCAGTCCTCTGCGTGCTTTTCTGCATTTTTCCTGCTCGGAATCACGTGCGGATGCATGCTTCGGTCTGCATGGATGAGCAGCGAACGGGAGCAGCTGAAAAAAATGAGCAATGGGGATCACGACTTGTCGGCGCGCACAATGGGGAGGTGCGAGGAGGGCAGCCTTCTAAGAAGTCGGAGGGCCTTCTCACGGAACCGATCGCCCTCGCCTTCGCATATGTTTCCTCTTTTTTTGGGGGTTCTCTCTCTCTCTCTCTCGATCGATCGAGGAAGAGGGACAGAGAGAGAGAGAGAGGGAGAGATACGTAGCACCCCGCAATTGCGGATAAGAGTGAGGGGGCGGGCGCGGGCGACGCGGGCGTCGTCGAGCCTGCGGACCTCGTGGCCCCCACCTTCCTTGTCGATGGCGCTCTCCTCCTCCTCCTCCTCCTCCTCCTCCTCCTCCTCCTCCTCCTCGTCCTCGTCGTCATCGTCATCGTCATCGTCATCCTCCTCTTCTTCCTCGTCCTCCTCCTCCTCCTCCTCTTCTTCCTCGTCGTCCCTCTCCCCCCCTCGTCCTTTCATCATCGTCCTCCCATTGTCGTCCTCCCCCTCATCGGCCTCCATCATCGTCCTCCCATTGTCGTCCATCATCGTCATCATCATCCTCCCCCTCTTCCCCCTCCTCGTCCTCCTCCTTCCCCTCCTCCCCCTCTTCGTCCTCCTGCTCCTCCTTTTTTTCTTTCTCCACATTTTCCTTACATCCTCTCTTCTTCCGCGTTCTGCTTGTCCCCTGTTTACTCCTCCTGTCTCCCCCTCCTTTCCCAAGATAACTGCAACGCAATCGTTTGTTCCACTTTCTGCTCTCCGCCTTCTCAGATAAATGGCAATTCGCCAGGGCAAAGTTGCTGAACGGGCTGGTGTGGATGCGCGGGGCTTGAAGAGGTCCTTGCGGGCTCAGACGGCATGTAAAAATCCGCCGCCGCGCGCTTGTGCGGCATTGGTTTGTTCAGTGAGCGTGGTTTAGGTCGCGGGTGGGTCGCGGGCTCTCCACCTCCACCTGGGAGAAATGCAAATGCAGCCCGCCGCAGGCGCCAACAAACATTGGTTTGTACACTGAACGTGGTTTGGGTCGCGGGTGGGCCGCGGGTTCTCCACCGGGAACGAATGCAACATATGCCCGCCGCGGGCGCCGAAAAATGTGGTTGGTACCTTGCCGGAGCGCGGTCGCGGATGGGCCGCGGGCTCTCCACCTGAAACACATGCGAAGGATGCCCGCCGCAGGCGCCGAAAAATGTGGTTTGTACCCTGAACGTGGTTTTGGTCGCGGGTTGGTCGCGAGTTGGTCACGGGGTGGGTCGCGGGCTCTCCACCTGGAAGGAACGCAAAAGAAGCCCGCCGCAGGCGCCGATAATGGTGGTTTGTACCTTGAACGTGGTTTGGGTCGAAGGTGGGTCGCGGGTGGGTCGCGGGGGTGGGTCGCGGGTGGGTCGCGGGTGGGTCGCGGTGGGCGCGGGTGGGTCGCGGGGTGGGTCGCGGGGTGGGTCCGCGCGGTGGTGGGTCGCGGGTCGCGGGTGGGTCGCGGGGTCGCGGGTGGGTCGCGGGGTGGGTCGGGGGTGGGTCGCGGGGTGGGTCGCGGGTGGGTCGCGGGGTGGGTCGCGGGGTGGGTCGCGGGGTGGGTCGCGGGTGGGTCGCGGGTGGGTCGCGGGTGGGTCGCGGGGTGGGTCGCGGGGTGGGTCGCGGGGCGGGCTGCGGGTGGGACGACGACAACAAACAACAACAACAACAACAACAACAACAACAACAACAACAACAACAACAACAACAACAACAACAACAACAACAACACAACAACAACAACAACAACAACCACAACAACAACAACAACAACAACAACAACAACAACAACAACAACAACAACAACAACAACAACAATTACTAGCACGTGGGGACACTCCGTTCTCACCAGTGCCAGGGTTTTCATACGACGCCCGCCAATACCCCCACTTTGTGGGGGGGCCGGTTCAAGCTCTACCACATTTCCAAACGACTCTTCGCCACCACCCACACCCAGCTTCCCGCCCTATGACGTTCGGACACTTCACTTCGTGGCCTGCGGACGACCGTGGCTACTACACTGGCGCATGGGTACAGTGACTTGTTGTGGTAACATTTTCTGGACGCTAGCTTAGTATACGACTTTTCCCCCTGTTCCAACACTGGACACCTGTACTGGTTTTTGGTGGTAACGTGTTCCTGACGCTAGAATAGGAAACCACGGTAAACCAGTACGACGCCGGTACTGTCTGTAGGTCCTACAATGATATGGACTGCTTTGGCTGGCGAGGCGCGAGCGTCTGATACGACGTTTTTCCGTTTCTGTACCACACAAGCGAAGACACTTATTTTGAGTGGTACCACGTGGGTGGCGCCAGCGTACCACAGGACTTGTTTCCGTTGTTGTGAGACGATACATGCTCATTCTTGTTCAGTGGTTGTCGTTCCGGCCTCAATGTGCAATACTGGCTCGCGGGATGAAATTTTGACATTTTTTTTTTTTTTTTTTTGAAAAACCATTGTTTTTTATGTTTTTATGTTAAAATCGCTACGAACACTAAGGTTTTGGAAGGATTTCGTCTTGCGCGCACGAATGTCCACTTTACCTTATTTTTTGCAAGGGATTCTTGAAGTTTGGTTATGTTAGAACAAGAAATGTCCACTTTGCTGTATTTTTTGCAAGGGAAAACCGCCCGTAACAAAACAACCGGATCCGGACCAACCCGTTTTGCCGGAGATTTCCTCACGAAAATTATGAAAACATGGCTGCGGCCTAGGCGCGGCGAGGGGGCCGTGCACCAGGGGTCCCAACAATAATTATTCTTTAGAAGTAATAATGTTCAACAACAACAACAGACAAACAAACAAACAAACAAACAAACAAACAAACAACAACAACAACAACAACGATAATCCGCACTGCGGAAGTCCACTTCAGCCACGCACCCAGGGACAGTGAATGACCATTCCCCAATGCCCCCCTCGCTTCCGCTCTTCCTCTCAACTCAAAGAGTGCTCTCGGCTTGGGCGCCCCCCTCATCATACACACACCTGGTAACGTAGCCTGCCAGCTCTCTTGCACTCACTATGGTGTCACGTTTTGCTAATATGGCATTGCATCTCGCCATTCAGTACGCGGGTTGTTGTGCAGCGGCTGCTGGCCGTACCCATGATGCAACAGTCCTTCAATACAGTCCTCTTTTATCCAGTTGTTTTCTTCGTTTCCTGAGATTGCTCGTCGCACCGGCAACATGGATTTCGTGTGTCCCAGCGGCACCACAGAGCAGCATAAAGGGTCGGAAGTGGTGCAATAGAGTAGAGCAGGGCCAAAGAGATAGTGTGTGTCTCACGGGTGGAAGCGTGGGCCTTACTCCAACAAGTCCGCAGGTCGCTCGATCATTCTACTTCCCCGCATCCCGAGGAGAAACATTTGTAACGTGTGGGATACCCTTCGGGTGGCCACAGGTCGAGGGCTGGCGATCAGAGCGAAACGCCAGCAGCTCGACCTGGGCATCTGCAGTATGTATTTCTCACCACCTCCGCATCATGCTCGCTTGATTCCTGCGATTAATCGTGCATGTATTGTGCTGATCAAGTGGCTTCGTTCATTACCTAAATGTGGTGTTCACAAATCTCTGCCATTGGTTAGCTCTGATCCTACTTTAGGTAAAGGTATTCACCAGCAGCACAGTCAAGATGCGTGGCAACCTAACCCCATGCCCATGATAATAATGTTACCCCCCCCTTAAGTCGTTAGAGTTTTTTATCGTCGACCAATAAGAGTTTGGTCGGGGGCGCGGGGCGCGGGGGCCAAACTTCATTATCACCTCGGAACGTTATGTTGAGATAGCAATATCAAGTTAGGTTGAAATAGCAACATCAAGCGAAGCGATCACATTTTTTTCAGGATGTCTCAAGCGAAACCAAGAATTTTGGAAGGCAGGCTCAAACGAAACGAGCAATGTTTCAAGGATGTCTCAAGCGAAACCAGTAATTATGTGAGGATGTCTCAAACGATTCGAGAAGTTTGTCGAGGATGTCTCAAGCGAAACAAGCATATACCCGAGGATGTCTCGAGCGATTCGAGAAGCTCGTCGAGGATGTCTCAAGCGAAACAAACATATATTCGAGGATGTCTCAAGCGAAACAAGCATATACTGAAGGATGTTTCAAGCGAAACGATACGTTTCGTAAAGGTGTCTCAAGCGAAAATAACAATTCCGTGAGGATGTGTCAAGCGAAACCAAGAATTTTGGGAGGCAGGCTCAAACGAAACGAGCAATGTTTCAAGGATGTCTCAAGCGAAACCAGCAAGTGTGCGAGGATGTTTCAAGCGATTCGAGAAGCTTGTCGAGGATGTCTCAAGCGAAACAAGCATATACTCGAGGATGTTCCAAGCGATTCGAGAAGCTTGTCGAGGATGTCTCAAGCGAAACAAGCATATACTCGAGGATGTTTCAAGCGAAACAAGCATATACTGAAGGATGTCTCAAGCGAAACGGTACGTTTCTTAAGGCTGTCTCAAGCGAAAACAACAATTCCGTGAGGATGTGTCAAGCGAAACCAAGAATTTTGGGAGGCAGACTCAAACGAAACGAGCAATGTTTCAAGGATGTTTCAAGCGAAACCAGCAATTCTGTGAGGATGTCTCAAGCGATTCGAGAAACTTGCCGAGGATGTCTCAAGCGAAACAAGCATAAACTCGAGCATGTCTCAAGCGAAACAAGCATAGACTGAAGGATGTCTCAAGCGAAACGATACGTTTCTTAAGGATGTCCCAAGCGAAAACAGCAATTCTGTGAGGATGTGTCAAGCGATACCAAGAATTTTGGGAGGCAGACTCAAACGAAACGAGCAATGTTTCGAGGATGTCTCAAGCGAAACCAGCAATTCTGAGAGGATGTCTCAAGCGATTCGAGAAGCTTGTCGAGGATGTCTCAAGCGAAACAAGCATATACTCGAGG